CAGTGGTTGTGTGCGCTGCTGTCTCGATCTCTGCATGCATTTGGGTGCATATGCATTGTGTGTGTGTGTGTGTGTGTGTGTGCTGTGTGTATTGCCAATGTGCACATGGCAATTGCATGCACATGCAGGCCACAGGCGCGATGTCATATTGTTGCCAGATATACTATTTTGAATCCTGTGGAAACGATAAAAATCCCTTTAGAAAGAGAATTATAATTTTTACTTTTGATATAAACAGAAAATGTTATATGTATTTTTTTTTCTGACCCGCTTCAATAATTTCAATACAAATAAAATAATTTACAAACTCTTGATTTACCGATAGTTCGAAAATCCCAATTTGGCCGGCACATACGCTAGCGCTATCTGGCTATACACGTATACGTACGTGTCGTCGATCGTGGACATGTGTTGTTACGTTACATGTTGTCTCGCGCTGCTGTTTTATTTTCACATCCAACTTGGTATTTAACAGAGATTCTTTCGCAATATTTTTGTGACTTTTGACTGCTACAGTTTTTGAAAGTGAAAATCAAAATGCCAGGGAACTGTCATTTCAATGATGCTTGGTTAGAGCACCCTGTTTATCGTGAGTGGATTATGAAAGTAAGCTCAAATCCGTCGACCGCAAAATGTGCTGTTTGCATGTGCAATTTCAGTCTCGGCAACATGGACGAAGCAGCCGTCAAGAGCCACGTGAAGAGTGAAAAACACAAGACAAAGCTAGTCAAACAACGCGGTAAGTTTACATTTCTTTTGGAAATATTGCATTGCTCATCTTTTGGTATCCAAGCAAACATGTTTCCTCTAAATTGAAAGATTTGGTAGTAAAATCAAGGTTTTAAATCATAATTCCGTAAGGTAAACCAACTCGTTAGCACGAGATCTCCGTAACTATCCAAGATGGCGGCACCCATGAGACGATTGAATTCGGAGTTTTGGAAAATCAGAAGTAATTATTTCAGTAATTTGTTGACAAATTTTCAACAAAATTTCACAATTTCAGAGGTATTGTGTACAATTTATCTCGCTTAAAAACACAGCAAAATTATGTAGAAGGGAAAAGGAGTAAAACGAAAACTGCAAGTTAAAATCTCACTCTCAGTCGGACTCAGTTTGATGTCCAACTTGACTTGTTTTTGTACAACAAGAGCATTCTGTATCATGTAAAAATATGTTACGAAAATAGAAAGTGACAGGCAGAACACTCCACTGACCTATCCATTTCAAATTTTTTGGCGGTGATTGGAATTGTCCAAATGCTACCTTGCTGGGGGTTCGCAAGCCGATTTGTGTCCGGGTCACAAAGTCTCAAAGAAAAAAAAATTGAAATTAATTTAATAAATTTATAATGAAAGAGGGATAACTTGGATTATTATTTCAGCAAAGTTATTGACAATTTTATGATGAATATTATTATTTTTTATAGTTTCATATTGTTAAATTTACCACTTTGATTTATGTTCTTTTTTTTCCTCAAGGCTCATCTACTCTCACAATAAAGAGCTTCTTCAAGCCAAAAGGAGAATGTCCATCAGTTTCTACCACTCAGTCTGCAGATGCAATGCCGAGTACTTGTGCTTCATCAACCTCCAAAGTGACATATCCCATTCCTGTTGCTGCCAGAGAGGATACATTGTAAGCAGAAATACTCTGGTGCCTGAAAGTGGTTGAGGACCATTTATTATTTCATTCATGTCAGCACAATAGCGACCTCTTTCAAAGAATGTTCCCAGATTCAGCGAATGCAAAAGGGTTCCAATTGTCAGAGACAAAATGCAGATACATGACTGTGTTTGGTTTGGGGCCATATGTGCAAGATCTTGTGTATGACAACATAAAGAAATCCTCCCATTATGCCATCCTATTTGATGAAAGTATCAATCAGAAACTGCAGAAAAGCAAATGGACTTCCTCATAAGAATGTGGCAGCATAATGAAGTTTGCACTCGCTACTTGACATCAGTCTTCATAGGACATGGTACAGCTGCTCACCTCAAGGAAGAACTGAATAAAGTTCTTCACAGAGTAGGGTTGGAAAAATTATTGCAAATTAGTATGGATGGTCCGAATGTAAATTGGAAAATGTATGATGATTTGTCAAGAGAATACAAATCAGAAGTGAACCGTTCCGTATTCAACATAGGCTCGTGGATAGGAAGCTCTCCACCTCCCACTCAGCAGCCTTGGCACCTGTTAGAAAAGTACCATTAACTATATGGAGCCCAAAGGATGTATTATTTGTTTGCTGATGCCCCAGCCAGAAGAGAGGATTATGAGAAGATAACTGGAGATCATACCATGCCACTCAAATTTTGCAAGACTTGATGGCTGGAAGATCTTCCTGTTGCAGAGAGAGTGATCAACATCTGGGAGAATGTATGTATGTATGTTAAGGCAGTTGAAGAGAAGAAAATCTCTCACCCAAAGAACAAGTCGTTTGAAACTGTTCAGAAGTGTACCAAGATGGCTGATTTTCCAGCAAGACTGAGCTTTTTCATATCGGTGGCAAAGTTGGTCAATCCCTTTCTAACAGACTACCAAACTGATGCGCCAATGTTGCCCTTCTTAGCCGAAGAAGTAACCAGAATGCTTGCTTCCCTTATGCAGCGATTCTTAAAACTTGACAGGAGTACCCTTACTTCTCCTTACAAGATAATGCAGGTAGATATTAGCAGTGAGGCCATTCAGCTGCCTTTGACCAAGGTCTATATTGGATTCTACACTGAGAAAAAGCTAAAGGATCTTAAAGCAAAAAACATCATCAGTGAGCGAAGGATTCTGGAATTTCGCGTCCAAGCAAAACAGTTTCTTGCTGCAATGACCCGCAAGCTCATTGACAGATGTCCGCTTAAGTATGCACTTGTGAGAAATATGGAATGCTTAAATCCAAAGAGCATGGCAAAAGACAAAGAAAACTCTACTGCAAAGCTGAAAAGGATGCTTAGTTCCCTTAGTGATGCAAACAGACTTGAGGATTCATGTGATGACATCCTAAGAGAATACTCAGAAGCATGTGATGAGACATCAAGAAGTGCAGAGATGAGAGAATTTGATCCGAAGAAAGACAGACTGGACTGATGTGCACATTTCTGTCTGAGTCTCACTATTCATCTTTATTAAAGGTGGTCCGCATGTTGCTTGTCTTGTCCCATGGACAAGCCTCTATTGAAAGAGGATTCTCCGTCAACAACAAAGTTGAAGAGGACAATCTTCTAGGGCACTCGCTAATATCTTTGAGCGCTATATATGATCATATGAAATACGTAGGAGGAATTCAGAACATTATTATCGACAACTCGTTCATGTTAGCCGCTTCAGCAGGTAGACAAAAATACCATATGTATCTTGATGAGCAGAAACGTGAAAAGGAAAAGAAGGAAAGAAAAAGAAAAGGACTGCTTGATGAAATAGATGAACTGAAAGCTAAGAAGTCTAGACTGCAAGCAGATATCAAAAGTCTTCAAGAATCAGCAGACAAGTTTGCAGAGGAAGCCGAGTCAACTGGCAGATTAACTTGTATATCCAAATCAAACAGCCTCCACGTAGAGCAAAGGAGAAGATGTCCCAGTGAGAAGTGATTCAGAAACAAATGGATGAACAGCCGAATGTCATCAAGAATTCGTAAAGTAAGACACAGTGGATAAGTTTGCAGAGGAAGCTAAATCAACTGACAGTTTGACATGTTTTTGACTGATTTTTCCTAGCTCGTTCCCTTGGCTGTGGTTTCGCTAGATAGTAGATAGGGACAGTGGGAATCTCGTTAATCCATTCATTCGCGTCACTAATTAGATGACGAGGCATTTGGCTACCTTAAGAGAGTCAAGAATTCGTAAATTAAGACTGCATTGCAGACAAGTTTGCAGAAGAAGCTGAATCAACTTCAAACAGCTACTGACTTACAGCAAAGATGTCTCAAGAAGAACTCATTCAGAAACAAACTGATCAGCTAAATGCCACAAAGAATGCATAATGTAAATATTTTGTTGTTGTTAATGGGGGGATGCAAAAGAAGAGATGGTGCAGTATATACACTTTGCTTCGGGATCAAATTTTTTGGTCTACCATGTAAAACTTTGTTCAAAAATCATGGAATTCTGGCTTGAAAGGTCATGGAAAGTCATGGAATTTCACATGTAAGAAAGTGTATGAACCCTGTGATAACTCCTCTCACAAAATAGCTTTCCTCGTTTTGTACTGCCCTTTATATGCACAAATTTTTACTCGCCACTGTGCTTCTACCTTCCTCCACGTGATATAGATGCATATAAGCATGTGACAATTCTTCACCAATAGGAGTGTGACACACCCTCCTTGCACAGCTGACTCTCTCTGTGCAATAGAACCCAACCTTGACTTCTTGATTTAGCACAAAATAGCATTCCTTAATTTGTATTGCCCTCTATATATATGCACAGCTGATTATTTTGTCTTTCCTTCTTCATCTGATATCAGGGTCTATGCTGAGAGTTTTGTCCAGCAGTTGCATTCGGGGTTCAGCATGCCACGTTTCTCATGTGCGGCTGAGGCTTATGCTTTGACATACCATCATTCGGAATATCCTTTTCTGGATCTGCAACAATTGGATTTGCTCCTCTTCATATGGGGTTTGGACCCTGATACCTCTGTGCATTTTTCACAAGCACAGTTTTTTCTGCCTTTGTTTGACCTTAACATCTCTCCTTCATTACATTTCTTTCATACAGTGTTTATCTGAGGCTTTACATTGTTTCCCTGAGGGGTTTATCATCAACTGTCCATTTCCTTCTACCATCCACATTGGCACACTTATCCTCTTCTGCTCTATCCCTCCAGACATAACTTCTTTCTTGTTGGGACCTTTTAGGTATGGACACTCTTTTAATTCATGTGCATCTCCCCCCTAAATTTTTGCATGATTTATGCATAGCTTCCTTTTTACAGCAAACTGTTTTTGGGGGTCTTCCTGACATATTTGAGTTGAGAGTGGAATCTGCCCGTTTACATACTTCCCTCTCCTCGTTTGTCACAACCTTCCCCAGCTTCTGTCCCTGTATCCCACCCAACTCCTTCCTCTCTATTGTTCATTTCTCATTGGTTGCTCCTTCATGGCATACTGTTGTTCACCACTGACCCACAAGCTGATAATGGTACTGGTGACTGTCCTGTGGGATCAGGTTCATTAAGGGCCAGACTGCTTCTTCTTTTATGGATAGTTGGGAGTCGTTTACCACCGACTTATGTGTTTTTCGAGTCTTATCAAAAAAGACCCCCTTCCTTTTTTTCATCTCTTCCCCTATCTCCTTTTTCTATTCCTTGCCCCCTTCTTAGGATCCTCTTTCCACAGCAGTTCAGAATCTTCTCCTGAAGGATGCTATAGAACCAGTAGTTTCTACTGTTCCAGTTTTCTTTTCCCATCTTTTTGTGGTCTCTAAGAATACTGGTTATTGGTGTCCTGTTATAGATCTCTCCCATCGTAATCACTGTATGGAAGTTCCTCAGTTCACAATGGAGTCTTTTCTATCTTGGATGGAGCTTTTACTCCCAGTCTTTGGATGACAAAGATTGACATGTCAGGTGCTTACTTTCATTTCCCCAGCATCTCGTTGTTATCTTTGCTTTATCCACATGGAATTTATATATCATTTCCAGGCTGTCCCATTTGGGTTGGCCTTGGCTCCCTGCATTTTTTGTCGGGTGGTCAAGGCCTTTGCCTGACTTCTTCATTCACACGGCTTTGTTTCGATCACTACATGGATGGCTGGCTCCTTTGCTTTCAGCTTCTTCCATCAACACGCAGTTCCTACTAAGGGAAGCTGCTCTGGTGGGTTGGGTGGTGGAGGTGGAGAAGTCCATTCTCACTCTAACTCAATACCTCATTCATCTTGGGGTATTCTTTAATTCCTGTTTCAGTTGGATCCAGCCTTATTACATTCCATGGAGTACTGATTTGGAAGGTTTTAATCCTCACCTATTCTACCTGCATGAGAGGTTCTATCTCTTTTGTGGACTTGGGCTTCCTTGGAGGTGCTTGCTGGTGGCTGGACAGGCACAACATAGTGCATCTTTTTACAGATGCTGCCCTGTCAGGCTGGGATAGGGGGGGGGGTATTGTCGAGTACTTTCCATCTCATTTTTCTGGAAATCTGTGCAGTTTGTCGGGCAATGGTTTATTTCCTGTC